GAAGCATTCATTTTATGTGTACATTTTGGAAAATTTATATGACCATGTAACTACTACCAAAATCAAGATATATTAATTGAACAAATATTCCACTGCCTCTTCCCAAACAATCCAACCCCAAATCATAGCCCTGAGATGCCCCAAATCTGCTTGTTATGACTATAGATTAGACTTGTCTTTTCTCAAGTTTCATAAAATTGCAATTACACAGCATTTTCTTGTGTCTGGATTTTCCCATCAACATAATGTGCTTTGTTGAGAATTTTTGCTTTCTTTTTCAAAATTATCATAGATTCACAGGAAATTGCGAAGACAGCACACAGACGTTCCATGTACCATTCACCCATCTTCCCCAATGGTGTCATCTTACATAACCATAGTACAAAATCTAAATCGGGAAACTGACATTGATACAATGTATGGATAGTTCTATGCCATGTTACCACATGTGTAGATTTTTATAAACATCACTGAATCAAGACACAAAAACTATTCCATCATTATGAAGATCTCCCTTGGGCTACCTCCCTTTACATAGTCACACTCACTCTTTCAACGGCCCCTTCTATCCTAACCCCTGGCAACCCCTAATCTGTTCTCCTTCTCTGTAATTCTGTCTATTTGAGAATGTTATATAAATGGGATTATACAGTATGTAATATTTTGGGGGTTTGCTCTTTTTCACTTAGCACAACTCTCTGGAGATCCATCCAGGTTGTCATGTGTATCAATAGTCGTTTCTTCTTATTGTTGGGTGGTATTCCATGTATGGATTACCACAGTGTGTTCAACTTTTCACTCATCAAAGGACATCTGGGTTGTTTCAAGTTTTGGGCTATCAGGAATAAAGACGCAATGAATGTTTGTGTACAGGTGTTTGTGTGCACATAAGTTTTCATTTCTCTGGGATAAATACCCAGGAGCACAACTGCTAAGTTGTATAGTACTTGCATTTTTACTAGTTTTAAAACTGCCCAACTGTTTTCTAGGTTGCACATTTTACATGCCCACCAGCAATGTATGAGCGATCCAGGGTCCTCACATCCTCACCAGCATTGGATGTTATCGCTGGGTTGGTTTTTTTCAAATTTAAGCCATTCTGATAGATGTGTAGTGATGTATCATTGTGGTTTTCATTTGTATTTCCCTAATAGCTAATGATATTAAACTTCTTTTCGTTTGCTTAATTTTCCATCTGTACATCCTCTTTGGTGAAATGTCTCCTTCCCATTTTCTAATTGAGTTGCTTTTTATTGTTGAGTTTTGAAAGTTCTTTATACATTTTAGACGATAGTCTTTTGTGAGACACGTGGCTTGCAAATCTTCATCTCAGTAGCTTGTCTTTCAGTTCTCTTCATAGGATACTTTGTAGAGCAGAAGTTGTTAATTTTGATGAAGTCCAATTTGTCAGCTTTGTCTTTTATAGATTCTGCTTTTGGTTTCAAGTCTAAGAAGTTTCTGCTTAGTCCTAGATCTTAAAGATTTTTTCCCATGCTTTTAAAAAATTTTTTTTGTAGTATTACATTTTACATTTAAGTCAGTTATCTATTTTGAGTTAATTTTGTGACATTTAGGTTGAGGTTAAATTTTTTAGCTCTGATGTCCAATTGCTCCAGCACCATTTGTTTAAAATTTCTTTTTCCTCTATTGGATTGCTTTTCCACTTTGTCACAAATCCACCAGGCATATTTGTGTGGGTCTATTTCTGTGTTCTCTGTTCTATTCCATTGATCTATATGTCTATCCTGCCACTAATACTACACAGCCTTGACTACT